GCGGGGAAGCTGTGAAAGAAAGAGGACTGGGGTTAGGGACTCCAGAGGCCACTGGAGGAGGCTTCCTGACAGTTCTCCACGGAAGGGGCCACTTGATTTCCCCCGACCAAACCCAGTGCACCACGAAGCAGAGTCTGCATCTGGGGGCATGCTAGAGGAGAATCCAGGAGAAGATTTGTGATGGCCTAAACTTGGGCCCCTGTATGGATCCCTGCAGAGCCAGAGAGGAAAAGGTCTTCGAGGTGACCCCAAACCTCAGCCTGCACTGCAAGTCCTAACTAGGCAGCAGAGAGGAATGGATTTCCCTGATATCTACCACAGGGAAATAAGTGGGGCCTGGAGGAAGGCAAGTTTTGATTTAAGAGCTGAAAACTCTGAAACAAGGAACAAAGTGATGCCTCAGCTACCCTGGTCCCATCTTCCCTCAAGCTGGGGGCCTAGGGAGGGAGAACACTAAAGATGGAAGATGTCAGGATAGCAGCCGCTGTCCAGGAGGTGAGTTCCCAAGCTAGTAGAAGAGGCCTAGTGGCCCTTCTCAGAGGCTGGGCTGTGGGAGTGGAGAGATCAAAGTAGAGCAGGTTCCAGAGGGATGTAGGGACCTCCAGGAGCCCAGAGAAGTGGAAGGAACGGAAAAAGGAGGGGAGGGGATTGGACAGGTCCAGGGAACTCCAGGATCAGCCAGTTTTCTTTCCTTCTCTACCAGCATCACCCTCTGCAGCCCCTCTGGAATTTTTTCCAAGCATGTGGGAGGGTCTTCCACACAGACACACCCTCAAGGGTATACCCTCTCATATGCCCTTTCTGAACCCCCAATCCCTGCCTATAAGTGGCCTCTCTCAAACATCCCTTTCTTGGCTAGCCCAGGCCCTGTCCTCCTCTGTCCTTCACAAATCTCCTCCTCCATCAGCAACCTGAACCTTGGACAGGAAAGGGCCCCCAAATCCTTTGCCTGCCCTATAAGGCCCCAAGTCTGGGCCAGAATCCAGACCCCATGGTGGTCAGGCTCTTTGTTCTCCTACAGCCTCAACCCACCCTCTCCTTTTTTAAAACTGGAATTTCTCCCATAAAAAGCCGGTGGGGGGAGCAGGAGCTTCAGAGCTTTAAGTTCCCCCCCACCCCATCATATGGAGGAAACAGAGAAAAGGGCTGCAGGGAGAGAAATAATCTGATACCTAATTTTCAGAGGAGAAAATCTGGGCATTGAATCAGGGACACAGCAACGCCATTTCTTTCATCCTTCTCCCTAGTCTAGCACTGAAGCTACACCCAGCCCTCAAATGTGTGCATCAGGCTTGCACCCTCCGCTTGCAAATGTTGCTAAGTTACACCTCTGACTTCCTCTTAGATACGGTGGGGCGTGAATTCCACCCCTCAACTTCAGAAAGACACAGACATCTGCTTCTTCATTTTTCTATATTTTCCTGGGGGATGTCTTTGTAAGTAGAGTAGGAAAACCATGTCAATTAAAAGTGTATACAGACAGACAAGCAGAGACTTTTATTTGCATACAGAGGATTTAAGCAGAGAGCTGGTTATCTTTAGGAACACATTTGGGCTGTGTCCACAAGGCCATGTGCTGAATCAGTGCAGGCAGCCTGCACCCATCCCTAAACCCACAAGCACGCACGCACGCGCGCGCGCGCACACACACACACGCTTCCCGCGAAAAGGCACATTAAATATCTCCTTTATGTGTTGCAGCATTTAAAAGAAAACATTTCAGAGTCGAACTTAGCCGAGAGCTCGGTGCATGGGCGGTAGCTGAGGGCAGAGTGGCTCCTGCCGCTCCGCGATGTAGAAGTCTCTTTGAAAAAGCAGCCGGGAGCAGAGTCGGGGCTTCCCGACGAGGCTGAGGAGCTGTTTTCCATTTTCCTTCCTTATAATTAAATGCTCCGTCTTTTTCCGCATACCAGCAGCTGGATTTTCTCTAAACTTCATCCACAGTCAAACCTCACCGCCTAATCCCGGAAGGCCAGCGGGGCGAGCCCGGGTGAGCACTGCAGCCGAGGGTTTCAGCGCCAGGCCCTAGAAAGGCTTTCTAGGGCGAGATCGCCTTGGAGATGTAATTACTACGTTTCTAGTGGTGCATATTCTCCTGGAGTGTTTAATTTGATTTTATTTGTGTCTCAGCGAGATCCACATTTTTTTTCGGGGGAGGGGAGAGAAACCACCCCAGGCTTAAAGTTAATTAACCAACAAGGCTTTACTTTCCACCGCCCTCCTGCAAGCTCTTTCTTCGGCGCCTCCCTCCCCGATCCCGGCGCCCCAGACTTGGAGACTGCGTTTGCAGGCGCGAAAGGTCTTGGGGAACCAAGCGAAAGAAGAGGGAATTGTTCAGAGCACGCGGACTTCCCCAGTCGCCTTTACTGCCCTTAGCCCAAACTTTCCCCTCCAGCCTTCCTACTGCTCCAAGTCGCTTTGGAGGCCTACAACTTCGGCTGGTCTTCTTGAGGAAGAGGACTATGGTTCCCTTTCTTTCTTCTCGCCACTACATTTTGGCCGCATAGTGCTCCTAATAAATGGAATTGTAAAGTTGCTAGGTTAATTAAATCTATATCTCATTGCAATAGGAATAGTTAATGCCCTTATATAAACCTGGAAAAGACCATACTATTAATTTTATTTATTGCTTGGCCACCCTGCACCCAGATCCTTCACGCCGTTCTGGTTCCTACTCCCGCCATTCTGGTTCCTCCTCCCAAAGGCTGGAGATGTGTCTTTGAGTACTGGCCCACGGAAAACGGGTCCGGCTTTGGGCCTGACCAGGGAGGGAGCCCCAAGAATGGGATGGGCATTTCAGGCCCTTTGTTTCTCCTGGCAGTCCCGCGGAACCCTGTCCACAGCGCCCCAGTTCTTCCACCTGGGCGCAGCACTTCGCAGAAGGGGAGGCCAGGATCTGGGTTCCATCTTTACTACCCGCGGCTGGAAAAAGACAGGCCTCCCTACCCACCCACCCCCACCAGCCAGGCCTTAGGCAAGGGGGCCAAGGTCACACGACCCAGTCTAGACTTGGCCAGGCCCTGTTTGCTTTCCTCGTTTTACCTTGACCTTGGACTCCAGCAGCAGGATAAGCAGTTTCCTAGCAGAGCCGGCTCCCGTCAAGACCCTATCTTCCACTGGGCTCATCTCTCCTCGCCCCTCCGTCATTGCCCTCAATACACACTTCAGCTGGTCTCCTTATGTCTCAACCTTCTTTCTGTTGTATTTTTCCTTCTACTGCCAGCCCAGCCCGCAGCCTGCTTTCCGAACTCTGAGCTGACTCTTCTGGCTCAAGATCACGCGGATAAGAATTACTATCCTAATTCACCGATGTCCGGGTGCTCTCAACCGTCAAACACCACCTTCTCCCCACAAAGAGGAGGGAGGTGGCCCGAAGGGGTCTCTGCAGACCTGTCCATTTGCTTTCCATTTGAGGGGTGCAGTAGGTCTGGCTGAGCCAGGCGCTACTGTGTGGCCATGGCCTGTGCGCTGGCTACACACGAGCACTCAGCATTTAAAACCTGTGGCAGAGGCAGGAAAGAAGGAAACGCTGCAGCCCCTTTCCCCTCTTATTTTTCTCTCTCCATTACTATTTCTCAGGGAGGTCCTCTGCTGAAAGGGAACTTAATTCCACGGAGACACTCCCTCAGAAAGGGGTGACTCTATTGAGGCTCCTGACAAGTTGGGAGATTGGGAGGAAAGAAGGGAGAGCTTTTGAAGAATCAGTAAGTTGGTGTTAATTTTTTCTTTGAAATAGGGGGCAGTTTTAGATCATGAAACTATTCCGCACTAAAAGAGGGTGACCTAAGAAAGCCGTGGGAGGTCCAGTGAGGGTATTCAAACTGGGGACCAGACTCCTGAGGGCAGAGGTGGGTTCTGCAGGGTCCCCAGAGTGGCGCCAGAGAGGTCCCTTGAAAGGGGTAGCACTGAATCTCCCCCATTTTCCACGTTCTCTTTTGTATAGCTATAGAAGAGAGCGCTCTCTCCTTCGCATCCAGGGCTTTTAGCTTTCCCAGGCTGAATATTGCGCCCCCACCACCCGCATTTCTTTAAAAAACCTCACTCTGAGATTTTTTTTCTGTTGCATATTGAAATATCAGTCTATTCTATGGTTTTTATTTCCCTCGTTTTATTCTTTCTCCATTTATTGCTGAGTCTATTCCATTGCTTCACAATCCCCTGCCCCAGGTGATGAATTCTGTATTTGGGGGTTGTCACACCCCTCTCCGCTTGAGAAAAATCCAGCGAGGTAAAGGAGAGTGTCCTTTTCAGACATCTGGGGTTCCGGGGAAAGTGGCTGAAAGTAGGAAATGGAAACACAATCCCGGCATCAAAGGCTCACTACGCGGCATCGGGTTCTTTCCAGCCGCGAGCGGAGGGGAGCTGCCAGGGCTGGAGCGCTCCTGCCTGTTTTCTATTATCTTCATTTATTATTCTTTACAATCTGGTTTCTTCCCCACCGTTAGCTTCAAGCCCCAATCCAGAGACTTGGGCAGTCACAGTGATCGGTTTGGGGATAGGGGTCTGTCTCCCCCGTGCACATTCTATGCCTAGGCGGAGGCGCCCAGTTACAGCCCTCTTTGCGTCGGCCAAATTCAGCCTCCCCCACCCCCTCCCTGGGGCCGGCCAGGGGGCGTCTCCCTGTCCCTTTAAATCTCCCAGCTCCCGCCTCCTTTGGCCCAACTGAGATCCAATCAGCAGAGATCTTTTTCTTTTCGCCCCGCCCCACCTAGAGGGGCGGGAACCCCAGGAGACCTGACCCGGGCATCACGTGCGCAGAGAGTGTCACATGGGCGCGGGAGGGGTGCTGAGAGGTGGAGGGCGGGAACCGGTGGATTTCTTAATGAAGTCTCTCCGCATGCGTAGAGGGAATGGAGGGAGGGAGGTGGAAGCACTAGGAGGAGGGGAGGGGTGGAGAGAAAAGAGGGGAGGGATGGGGGAGGGGAAACAGGAGCGAGGTGTCTCCCTTGCTCGCTGCCTCTGGCAAGTGGAGTTTTTAAAAAGCTCCAGCAGATCATGTCATGACGACTTCGCTGCTCCTGCATCCACGCTGGCCAGAGAGCCTTATGTACGTCTATGAGGACAGCGCGGTGGAGAGCGGCAGCGGCGGCGGCGGCGGAGGAGGAGGAAGAGGTTTTTCTTTTTTTTTGAGACAGAGTCTCACCCTATCACCCAGGAT